ATATTTTGAGCAAAAGAATCATAATTTTATTAGCAATTCCTGTATTACTAGATATTTATGTTGCTTCCAGCTTTTTGCTCTTATAAAAATGTTGAAATGAGCATTGTCATGCATAGAGCTCTTCTTCTGTGCATCAACGACCAGAAGAAAATGAACGAGTCCAAAAGATAGATCCTTTAGTGATTTTTCACGTAACTGCCAAACTGCTTTCCAGAAGGACTGTGCTGACATACATACAAATACCAGCAGGCACCGGGCATGGTGGCTCATGCCTGTAATCCCAGCACTTTGGGAGGCCAAGGCGGGTGGATCACCTGAGGTCAGAAGTTTGAGACCAGCCTGGCCAACATGGTGAAACCCTGTCTCTACTAAAAATATAAACATTAGCCGGGCATGGTGGTGGGCACCTGTAATTCCAGCTACTCAGGAGGCTAAGGCAGGAGAATCACTTGAACTTGGGAGGCAAAGGTTGCAGTGAGCTGAGATCGCGCCACTGCGCTCCAGCCTGGGCGACAGAGCGAGACTCCATCTCAAAGAAATAAAGAAATAAAAACTAAATACCAGCAGGGCTGAGGACATCAATTCTGCCTCCACTTCCCTAGCACCGTGCATGAGCAGATGTCAAGGTGGAGGGATTGTGGGAAATGTTTTCCTTGTTGTCTTATTTCCTTCATTATTCAGCATTTCTAGCCTCCCTTGCAGCTAGGGTGCAGGCACACAACCTAGACTCTGCCAAACAAATGCACCCATGTGAGACCTACATGCAAAGAGAATATAATGCTTTTATCAATCTAAAAACTTCCTCAAGGATAAATGTGAAAGGAGGGAAATCTCAGGGTTTTAGAAAAACCTTATTGTGGGCATGATCATCCCTTAGAGGTCACTCTTACAAATAATTAAGTAGGCAACTGCCTAGGTGATGTGTTAAAAGCTTCCTCTTCTCAGGCTAAAAGGGGGTTCCTCCCTGGCTTATATCTTTAATCTCTGTTAAATGCCAGGGGGAAGCTTATTCTACTTACATCTTTTTTTTTGAGACGGAGTCTCACTCTGTTGCCCAGGGTGGAGTCCAGTAGCATGATCTCGGCTCACTACAACCTCTGCCTTCCGGGTTCAAGCGATTCTCCTGCCTCAGCCTCCTGAGTAGCTGGGATTACAGGTGTCCACCACCACGCCTGGCTAATTTTTGTATTTTTAGTAGAGACAGGGTTTCTCCACGTTGGCCAGGCTGGTCTCGAACTCCTGACCTCAGGTGATCCGCCCACCTCAGCCTCCCAAAGTGCTAGGATTACAGGCAGGAGCCACCATGTCCTGTCATCTACTTACATCTTTACGTAAGTAATCCACATTTCCTTTTCAAAGTCAAAAACTCACAACCTATCTAGAAATCTATGTAGAAGCCATTAAGGAAAATATTAACATATTTGGCTATCATTAAAGCTAATGTTTGACCAAAACCACCATAATTTTTTTTTTTTTTTTTGAGACGGAGTCTCACTCTGTTGCCCAGGCTGGAGTGCAGTGGCATGATCTTGGCTGGATTCTCCTGCCTCATCCCGGGTTCAAGACATTCTCCTGCCTCAGCCTCCCCAGTAGCTGGGATTACAGGTGTCCACCACTATGCCCAGCTAATTATGGTATTTTTAGTAGAGACAGGGTTTCTCCATATTGGCCAGGCTGGTCTCGAACTCCCGACCTCAGGTGATCTGCCTATCTCGGCCTCCCAAAGTGCTGGGATTACAGGCATGAGCCACCATGCCCCGTCATCTACTTACATCTTTATGTAAGTAATCCACATTTCCTTTTCAAAATCAAAAACTCACATCCTATCTAGAAACCCACGTCAGAAGACATAAAGGAAAATATTAACAGATTTGGCTATCATTAAAGCTAATGTTTGACCAAAACCAACATAATTTTTTTTTTTCTTTTTTGAGTTTTTGAGACAGAGTCTTGCTCTGTCACCCAGGCTGAAGTGCAATGGCATGATCTTGGCTCACTGCAACCTCTGCCTCCTGGGTTCACGTAATTTTCCTGCCTCAGTCTCCTGAGTAGCTGGAATTACAGGTGCCCGTCACCACGACCAGCTAATTTTTGCATTTTTAGTAGAGACAGGGTTTCACCAAGTTGGCCAGGCTGGTCTCAAACTCCTGACCTCGTGATCTGCCCACCTTGGCTTCCAAAAGTGCTGGGATTACAGGCATGAGCCACTGCTTCTGGCCAACTACCACAATTTAAAAAGACAAACTAAAATTGAGAAAATATTTGTAGTATTTTTCAAAAGAATAATAGCCCCTCACTTCTCTTGTGCTTTTTTCTTTGACCCACAGTTACTTAGGAGTATGTGGCAGCCAGCCCCAAGGTAGCCCCAGTGATTCTACCTCCTGGAAGTCACACCCTTGTTCAATCCCCTCCACAGAGTACCAGGGTGGGTCGGTGTAACCAAGAAAATAAATGCGGTGGTATCTCATTTCTGAGAGTAGGTTTCTCTAAAAGACACTAGGGCTTCTGTCTTGCTTACTTTCTCTCTCAAATCACTCATTCTAGGGGAAGCCAACTGCCATGTCAAGAGAAGTCTTATGGAGAGCTCCAAGGGGGAAGCAAATGAGGTCCCCAGTCAACAGCAGAAGAAAACTGAGGCCTCCTGCTGACAGCCATGTGAGTGAGCTTGGAAGCAGAGGCTGAAGTCTCAACTGTAAACTGAGCAACTCTTAGTCAGGACTACTCTGCTATCTTGAATGTTTGACCCAGAGAAACAGTCATTGGTAGCTTAGTGACAGGGATATGTTCCGAGAAATGTGTTGCGAGACGATGTCATTATTGCATAAATATCACAGAGTAAGTGGCAAACCCAGATGGTATACCCTACTACACACCTAGGCTATATGGCATAGCCAATAAGATCCTAGGGTACAAACCTGTTCAGCACGTGACTGTGTTGAATACTGTAGGCAACTGTAACAAGGTGGTATTTGTGTATCTAAGCATCTCTAAACATAGGTAAGATACAGTAAAAATACAGTATTATAATCTTATTGGACCATTATCATATATGCAGTCTTTTGTTGACCAAAATGTCATTACGTGGTGCATGACTGTAATTTAAAAATTCAAGGGCCAGGCTCAGTGGCTCATGCATGTAATCCCTGCATGGAGGCCAAGATGGGAGGATCACGTGAGCCTGGTAGTTTGAGACCAGCCTGGGCAACATGGCAAGACCCCGTCTCTTAAAAAAAAATCAGCTAGCTGTGGTGGCACACACCTATAGTCCCAGCTACTGGATAAGCTGAGGCAGGAGGATGGTTTGAGCCTGGGAGATGGAGGCTGCAGTGCACTGTGATCAGGCCACTGTACTCCAGCCTGGGCAAAAGAGCAAGACTCTGTCTCAAAAACGAAAACAAAAATCGGCTGGGCACAGTGGCTCATGTCTGTAATCTCAGCACTTTGGGAGGCTAAGGCAGGCGGATCACTCGAGGTCAGGAGCTTGAGACCAGCCTGGCCAAGATGGTGAAACCCCATCTCTACTAAAAATACAAAAATCAGCTGGGTGTGGTGGTGCATGCCTGTAGTCCCAGATGCTTGGGAGGCTGAGGCAGGAGAATCGCTTGAACCCAGGAGGCAGAGGTTGCAGTGTGTCAAGATTGTGCCACTGTACTCCATTCTGGGTGACAGAGCCAGACTCTGTCTCAAAAACAAAAACAAAAAATTTGTTTAAGTCACTAAGCTTTGGGGTAAATTGTTATGCAGTAATAGATAATACCAGTGTGCTGTTTATTTTCCAAACATTTAGGGGTTTCCTAGACACCTTACTGTTACGTTTACATTTTTCACCATATGTCTTCATTATTTATCCAATCATTTTTCCGCCCCATTTGCTCACATTGCTCTCCTTCTGCAACTCCTATTGGGTATCTGTCAGACCTAATGTTGTCACATAGGTCTCCGAAGCTCTGTCCCTCTCTTCCGCCTTTTTTCTCCCTGCTCTGGGATCTCTAAGGGCAGTCCTTCTCTCACAAGCTGCAACTGTGACTCTTCCTCACATGGCCCCTGTCCTCGGCTTCACTTCCCGCCCCCTCCATCCCTTTGCCCTGGTGTCTTTCCTCCACGCTGCATTTCACACTTGGAATGTTACCTCCATTCTTTCTCTTCAGCCTACATGTTTTTTTCTCTTCTTTGCCTTGGTTGGCAATCCCTTTCTTTCACTGAAATGACCATAATGCAGAATTTCAGCAAGTTTATTTCCCCCTGTTCTGTAGTGACATTTAAAAGCAGTAGGCAATTAAGGTCCATTGTTTAGTGTGATCACATAGAATGGTTCTTAAATCAGTTTCATCTCTGGTGTAACTCTTGATGCAATTTTAAATGATCAACGAGAAGATTTAGCAATTCCTCTAAGTAAGCAAAACCAATTAGAAGAATGTTTTATTGGTCCCAATGAGAATTTTGCCTGTGTTTTGAGGGGAAAATATATTTCCTTTTGTCACAGCATTTAATACACTGTTAACCTGATTTCACATGGTGGAAAGAAAAAGGACAAAACTCTAGCTGTTTTGCTGATTAGATCTAGAAACATTTGTCCTTTCAAAATAAGATACTAATCACCTGAGGTTTGTTTTTTACTTCACATACAAGTGTTAACATACACATTAAATACTGAGTTTATTATTTACCAACCAAACCAAGTCCTAGACAGTTTTAGAATCTTTTCCATTTGGTTGCCATCAGAGTGTCTGTAACTTTGCAAAAGTCAGCCTGCTGGGAACTTTTTAACACTTTAATTTTTAACCATTTAGGAGTTAGGGATCCCCTTGAGGATCTGATAAAAGCTACAGACTCTATCCCCGGGAAATGGCAAATATACATTTCGCCTACAATTTCAAGGAGTTTGTAAAGGATCTGAGCCCTTCTATGGAGCCCAATCGAGGAGGTCTTGCTCTAAAAGCTCTGAACTGTAACTGTGGCACTGAAGGAAGCTCATGTGTTTCTCAGGCATGCTTTCTTACCATTGCTCTTGCTTCCTCACGGATGGATGGAACAGAAAGGATGCTGTACAAAGCTCCATTCACATATGGCTGTATCTTTAAGGGGAGGAAAAAAACCAGTTATTTGCAAGTTTTCAAATACTGCACAACTCTATATCAAACACCACACCTCAGAACAATCTGGCAAATGGGGAGAGTGGGTGTTCCCGTCCTCGCAGCTCTCCTGTGCTTCAGGATGTATGTTCCCAAGTGACAGACATCTCCATCTGCATGTCCAAGTGACAGCTACCACTGAGTCTAAAACCAAATTCGTCACTCCCTCCCAAAGCTTACTCCTGCTGCATTTCATTGCTTAATTAAAGTTACCTTTAACCTCCTGATCACTCAGGCTAGAAACTCTGGAGTCATCGTTGATTTTTTGTGGTTGTTGTTCAGTCTCCAATGCTCAGTCTTCAAGCCTCTTTGATAGGAATCCCTTTTTTCCATATCCACTGCTACTCTCCTTGTTCAGACATCATTGCCCATGACCTAGGCTACATCAGATCTCCAAACCAGTCTCTCTACCCTCAATATTCACCCTTTAATGTAACTATCAGATCACTCCCAACATTCTACAGTATGGGCCAAATCATCCCTCGTTCCGTCTCAGAAATCTTCCATAAAGTCCAGTAGGAAAGGCGGAACTCCTTGGTGTGGCACACAGGATCTTCAAGGCGTGGCCTTTATCTCATCCCCTCTGCTTCTCCCTCCCTGCCACCACAAAGTGTCCATACTACCTAAGGGAAGCCCCCCACCAGGCTGTTCCATGTCTCAGCCAGGTTCTGGCAGTTCACCTTGCCAGGAATGATCTTCACACATACAATGAACCTTGAAAACTCAGCCCAGACATGTCACCTGGGAAGGTTCTCCTGAGTCCACTCCTGCCTCCGTGCCCCTAGACAGGGTGCTCACTTCCACTTCTTGTACCTCCCTCCACTACAGCACTGGAGGCAGTATCCTTTTAAATTCATACTATGTCCCCTCTATTCTGAGCTTTTTGAGGACAGGACCCACGTTTTACTTGCACACACTGGGCGTAGAGCATGGCAGGTGCTGATAAGCAAGTTCTCTTTCCAGCAGGCTGTACGCTTTGCCCGCCGCAGCAATGGAGGAGGGCTCCTTTCCCACTGCCCTCCCTCAGCACTGGACTTGATTAGCACTTTCAACGCTTGCCAAGCCGATGGGTTAAAAAAGGCATCCTACAGTTTTTATTTTCAGTTCCCGATTGAACTAGCATGATTGAACATCTTTTCACATTTCTGGGGCAGCACGATTCTGCGAACTGTCTAGTCATATCCTTTATCCTTTTTTTTGACTGGATTGCTTGACTTTTACTTACCAATTTATACCAGCTCTTCATCTATTAGGAACATTAAACTTTCATCACATGTGATACAACTTTTCCTCGGGGTTTCATTCAACTTTTGACTTTGATTATGGCATCTTTTTCCAATCAAAAAATGTAATGTTCATATAGTCAATTATGTGCATCTTTTTCTTTATTTCGGTTTTGTCTTTCAAGATCATGACTACTACAGTGTAGCAAACACATTTCTTGGCTCTAAAATATATATATACACACACATATACATACACACAGATATATATATGCCGTTTTTCAAGCTCATTTTCTTTTTCTTACTTTTTTTTTCTCTGAAACCTGAATAAACCAAAGGATTCTAAATCATATCATTTACCTGGTACGAATCCATGGGCTTTGAAAATGAGCCTGAGTAGGCCGGGGTGGTGGCTTATGCTTGCTGAATCCACAATTTTGGAGCCGAGTGGAGGATCACTGAAGTCAGGATTCAAGAACCCAGCCTGACCAACATGGTGAAAAACCCATCCTTTACTCGAAATACAAATTTGGCAGCCGCATGGTGGCATGCGTCCGTGTAATTCCCAGCTACTCAGGAGGCTGAGGCATGAGACACACTTGAACTCTGGAGGATGGAAGTTGTATGGCTGGAGGCGAGATTGGGCCATTGCACTCAGCATGTGATGATATATAGAACCGTCTGTCCAAAAAA